GGTGACACCATTAGGCCGAAGTGAGGCGTGACATGGCTCGCGGGGCATCACGCAGAACGCCTCTTCCGCAAAGAGTGTTTTTTTGGCGCGAAACGTGCTGTTTCCGTGTTTCTCATGCGACTGCTTGACGCTGAGGATGGCAGCCATATGTGTGAGACTTCAGACCTCGACGGGAGGAGCCACGTGGCTGAAATTACGGCCCTCGTATCTCATCTCCGCTCCAGAGATCGGCGGGATCCTTTTTTATATCAACGAGGGAAGATTCGCCATCCCACCGGTCTCCGAATTCCGCGGCGCTTATCTTTTCCATGGAAACAGACCCCCCCCCCCCCAAATGCAACAGAATTCCAGGCAGGATTTATTGGCAGGGGTAAGGTGATATAACGCACTGTTGACACTGTGGGGGGGGGGTGGCTATGAAGGCACTCTGCCCCCCCCAAGTGATTGACAGTCCTCATTAACAGCGGGGTTATCTGACACAAAAATAGCGAGGGCGCCGGACACGCGATATCCGACCCCCCCGGATTCCTTGCTGCGAGGCTTGTCTGCTTTCACTGCTCGTCTGCAATGCCCCCCCGTCCCCCCCAAAAAAAAGTTATCTCTGCTACAGGCCGTTGTCGTAATCTTCGGTGCCTGAGGTCCAACTGCAGGCCGGTTCTGAGCGTTATGGGAAAATGTAAACTCTACAAGACAGCTGGTGTCTCATGTAGTCATTGATTCTAACCTCCCCCCCCATATGGTACGTGTGTCTGTAGCTGTTGGGGGAGCTTTAAAAATGAGCTGAGGCAGTTTTCATCGAAATGCCTTGCATAGCTGGCATGACCCTACCATACCACATGTTTTCCTCTGAAGTGCAACGTCCCATAACTTAGCGACTGCGCAGGGGGTCACATGACTCAAATTATATGAATTATCCTTCATTTGGGTCCAACACGAACCCACTATAAAGATCAGTGGGTCTTTTTCAAGTGTTTTTGGGGCTGGCAAGCAAAAAAAGAGAGATGGATCTTGTCGCCTGAGTAAGGATGACTTCAGCCGGGAACCAAGTCAGCACATGGACGGCGTTAAGTCAACAGGCCAGTTTCCAGCTCACTGGCCCGGCGGATTGGGCTCCACCAGTCAGGCCCTGAAACGCCTGAATGTTTTCAAGCCACCCTGTGGTAAACCCCCCCCCCCACCGCCTTCCTGTCTACTGTTCCAGTCTGACCCTGGGAAAGGTCCCTCGGAGATGGTCTCCTTGGGCCAAGCAGTGAAAGGTGACTCCACTTTGGTAGCTCATACCAAAAATGCGGGTAGAACTTCCTAAATAATGGCTTCATGAATCTGCCATATGAGTCAAAGCACCTTTTTCTTCAACGTCATGGCTGGGTCATATATCATCCTTGTAGGTCAGCATAAATGAAAAGAAAGAAGTAGAATATAAATTGTGAGACATCCATCCATTTTCTGAAACCGGTTATCTTCTTCAGGGACACGGGGGGGGGGGGTCCAGAGCCAATCCCAGAGGCTCTGGGCGCAAGGTAGGGAACAACCAAGGATGGGGCTCCAATCAGAGGTGGAAAGTTCAGGTTTTATTTTAACCAATCAACTGAGTATAAAGAGTACTTAACTGGTTGGTCGAAACAAAATTTTGGTCTGGATTTGTACTTTCTGGACCTGAACTTTTCACCTCTGGCTCCAGCCCATCACACACACACACACACACACACACACACACACACACACACACACAAATTAGCCTCAATGTGTTTTTGCACTGTGGGGGGGACCCGGAGTACCCAGAGGAAACCCCATGATGACATGGGGAGAACATGCAAACTCCACACATATGGAGCCATGGTGGAGACTCGAACCCAGGTCCCAGAGGTATGAGGCGACAGTGCTAACCACTGTCCCCCCCCACCTACATGACATATTTAGACTTGGACATTAAGACAGACAAAAGAAATTTGGATGAATACCTGATTAGTGGGGAAAGATTGTGCAAATTCAGCATCTCATTAACCATTCACTGTTTGAATCTTCTCCTCCTCCCCCGGGCTGATGCCTCAGTCGCTATGGAAGTGTCCGGCTGCCTCACATGCAGTGTTGGACATTTCAGGTCCAGAAGCTACAAATCCAGACCAAGATTTTGTTTCTACCAACTATCTGAATACTCTGTGACTGTGACTCTTTATGCTCAACTGGTTGGTAGAAACAAAACCTCGGTCTGGATTTGTAGCTTCTGGACCCGAAATGCCCAACACTGCTCGCATGCCCGCGAGCAAGGATATAAACAGCAGCGTCTGCCAGCCGGCTAGCTACCCTCCACGGTCGCCGACGTCCAGAGTACGCCAACGGCGGCCATTACCAGCACAGTGGGGATGGATAACAGAGGCCTTTATTGAGGTTGCTCTTGGCTATCTCAGGGCTTGTTTGAAAGGTCTCCGTGTTATTGGTGTAGGAGATAAAAAGAACAGGTTTACTAGCTTTAACTAAACAGCATGTCGATAGTGTTTGGAGATCCAAGAGGTAGAGATTAAGCTTGCCTACTCTTATCTATAGTGCCCCCCTTCCCCCCGTCTGCCTCAAAGCCCCCCAGACCTCCTTATTCCAGTCCGGGGCGACTGCCAGGCCGCGACACCCCTGCTTATCAGCCGCCCTTCGTGCCCCCGCGCTGGCAGCAGCTGGGAACGTGTGTTAGATAAGCGGCGGACGCGAGCACACCATGTCCGAAGGGGTCACCCTCTTGCCCCTGGGGGAACTGGCGACCCCGCCCACCTTCCAGCTGTTTCCAGTCACACAGGAGATTAAACCTGATAGGCCAGCCCACAAACGAATCCTGAGGCTTTATCTCCCAGGGCTGCGTGTGCACCTGAAATGCAGCAGACACTAGCCAGGTGGGACTTGGCTATATCTTTAACTTTATCGTTTGGCCAGGGCTCAGCACCAAACATCTGTTTGAATAGCTTACATCACAATGGTGGGTGGGTGAGGGAGGGGTCGGGACAAGGAGTATTTAAATTATACTTTTATTTCATACAAAACAAAAACAATAAACAAATAAATTAAATATTTCTAGAATAATTCTCTTTAAGGCTCTGAATAAAAGGACATTGGGATTGTTGCAATGGCACAAGGGAAATGGAATGTAATATAAACATTTTGTTAAGAAAACATGACGGTAGATCATCTAAAACCTTTAGCTGTTGTTTTGCAGGCTACAGCAGGCCTTTCCAAGATAAAAACGTAACTGCGACAGACATAGAATGAAAGAAATACGCTTACTGTATGTCATGTATAATACGCTCATTAGAAATTGCCACTTTAAAATGATATGAATTATTTGGTACGTATAGTTTCACTTCATATATATGCTTGAAACTACATAATTTAAAGTGGCAATAACTATATATATATATAGTTATTTCCTTGCATTTTGTACGCTACTCTTAGATATTTGAAGCGGTTTGTCGAACAACGTCCGTCTCCGAAACGGCATTTAAGCCCAATTTGCCTCTGACGATGTACAACACTGATATCACAGTTCACAAAGAGGACCCCCCCCCCCCATCCTAAAACTAAGTCATTTCACTTTTAGCTTCCTCTTATTCCTCATACCCCCCTTTGCATTAATGCTAATCTATACTGCTAAAGCTTTCTCTTATTCCTGCCCTCCCCCCCTTAGCATTNTGAATACACCCTATAGATATAAATTGACACAGCTTATAGGGATGTGAAGCAGTTCTAAATTCACTTTGGGGTGGGGGAGGCGGATCAGACCGTTATCTTCGCTGGGGGGGGGGGTTGAACTCCAGCGTCCCCTGAAGATAACGACCGGAGCTTGTCCCCGGAGGGACAAGATTAGCATTTGTATATTAAAAGACACCGGGATAATGGCAAAGCCCTGGGGCCGATTTGCATTAGAAGGCCTCCTCATTTGCACACAGGCCCAGGAGGTCGCCTGGCCTCGCAGTCACACCCATGGCAGCCCATTGTCGGTTCCCCAGCTTCCGTTCCAGTCCCCCCGCATGCGGGGGACCCGCGCTGGGTTAAAGATTTATAGGAGACAAAAAGCGATTCTCCCTCTAAATCAATCAGGCCGAGGCCCCCGCGCATTCACACCAGCTCCTCGGATTTCACGCTGCTCTCGACCATCGGGGACGACACTTTCCACTGGGCCTCTACGCCGGTGATGAAATTTTTTCTCTTCCAGGTACAGATTTCAGAGTCCAGAGTCTTCGTGAGTCACAGCTAGTCCCACGAGCCCTTTAATTGTGAAATCCACGGAATATCACCCACAGACCATGGAAGATTTCAATGAATGGCACTCCTTTGCTCAAATGCATAGACAGCTACATCGTCTCCAGTAAAAAATAATATACGGCCAAAGTTATTTACTTTAACCTCCAACACCTTCATCTCATATCATTTTAAAATAACTTATAAAACGTAACTGTCTTTTCTCCCCCCTCTTCGTGATATATACATAAAATATTTTAATATTTAATATATTCATAGGAGATCAGAAATTCAGGCACTTTACTGTATGCACAGCAACTTTACACAAGATATCCTGAGATTTAAGACAATTTTTAAATACCAGGTTGTAAAATAATATTTTATATATATATATATTTATATTGTACAATGCAATCGCCTTCTGTTTTATATGAAAATATATTTCTCTTTTTTTTTTTTTACGTTCCATACTGGTTCTAAATGGGATTAGTTCTAGAACTGCCCTGGTTATTCAGTGTGTATATTAGCTTCTGTTATTCTGTTATTGTGTCTGTAATTTCTCCCACAGCAACTGTTATTAAAGAGCCTAATTTAAAATGTCCTGCTTCATGAAGGAGAACCTGAAAATGCAAACCAGACTTTCTCACAGTGCTAATGAGATAATGTTCCACGGCACAGCGCCAAAAACCCGCTGCCGTTCTGCCACTTTTCGCATTTTTGTTTTTAAAGCAAACATCTCGAAGGTAACTTCCACGAGCCGAACCACCCCCCGCCCCCCCACCCACGCCGGCCGCCTGCTGACAGGGGTGACCCTTTTCAGGTCTTTATCCTGGAGTGCACGTCGTGGTAGCCGAGGAGGCAGGGGTCTGTGGACAGAGCGTCGTGGGTAAAGACTGAGTCATTGTCCGAGGAACAGGAGCTGGAGGTGTCCTCACAAGATGGGGAGTACTGCTCGAACGGCGTCGAGAGGTCCAGGTACTACAAAGGAAGCAGATACAATAATTTGTTGAAATTTCAAATCAGAGGATTCTGGGCCCATGCGACTGTGTACATTGGTTGTGCAGTGCTACCATTAGCGGTTAGCTTACCTCATCTGAGACAGACAAGAGCACTCGGTCCAGCTCCTCCACCAGCTGTTTGAAGGTGGGCCTCTGGGAGGGAACCGCGTGCCAGCATTCCCTCATCATCATGTAGCTGTAAACAGGAGAAATGGACCGCCATCAGTACTGTAGCTTATGGTTATTGCTAGTGCTACTGTATCCAGCTATGTGCAAAAGCTTATCCTAGTTTTTAAATTTGTTTGCTAGCTTACATACCATGGTCTGCCAGTGTTCTTAGGTATAGCATGTTTACCGAAGGCAATATTATGTCCCAAAAAAGTCTGATGAAGCACTCATGCAATAATAGCTTAGTCTGATATTGTTCTCGTGATTAGCGCTACAGCGTTAAACCATGCTAAATGCCAGAATTTTGGCATATAGACATGCTGGAGATTCATGTTGCTTATGTACTTACAGATCATGCGTGCAGTTGGAGGGCTTGTCCATCCGATGGCCCTCCTTCAGCAGCTTGAAGAGCTCTTCCACGGGAATGCCGGGGTAAGGCGATCCCCCCAGGGTGAAGATCTCCCACATCAAGACGCCAAAGGACCACCTGAAAGAAAAAACGGGAACCGAAATATATGATCGGTGCATTTTTCAAGCTGGTAAAAAGCCACCAAAGTGCAAAGGGGGATGGTGTGACCTGAAGCTACTGGTTAACAAGACAAGCTCTGCTAGCCTTCGCAGCCTGAGGCCTTTCACATGAAGGGGGAAACGATACTGCAGCAGTGGTTGGCCCAAGGCTGGCAGGAATAGGCCTAATTTGTTGGACAAAGGCACACATTCCAGTGCCTCGGGGGTCAGATGACCGACTGCTTGGCAGGGACGGGCCGATTAGCTGGACTTACACGTCGCTCTGGTGTGTGTAGACTCTGTCAAACAAGGCCTCTGGTGCCATCCATTTCACTGGCAGGCGGCCCTGAAATCAGAACAGCACAGCACTACGTCAACGGTTGCCCGGCCCGACGGGCGCCTCCCTTTGATCCGCTGACCCACCCTCCCAGCTGACCCTCTCCCAACCCCGGCTGTCTCAATTATCTCCCATTAGGCCACCTGTCAGTCAGAGTGGGAACGTCACACATCTGTCCCTGAGCACATCGACGATCACAATGTACAAGGGAGTTGTATGGAAAAAGAGGGGGGGTGATTCCCGGGACACCTGACTCACGTTGGTGGTTTTCTTATAGTAATCGATTTGGTGCACGCCTCTCGCCAGGCCGAAATCCGCGATCTTCATGACGTTGTCGTCGGTAACCAGAACGTTCCTCGCCGCCAAGTCTCTGTGGATGCACTGGGCAGAGAAAAAAAACCCAGTCCATAATATGCCCACTGGTTTCCTTCAATTCCATTGCATTTAATACAGGAGGGTCACAAGCATTTGCAGCACGCTCCATCATTCACGTTCAGTGCACTGTTTATGGATGCGCAGCATCGGATATCTGCGTTACAGCCTGCTGCTCTACGCCAGATCCATGGCAGACAGAGGACAGTGGGAGGCCAGATGACCAGATAAAATGACATTGCTTAGATTTTCTAAACAGAGGAGGTTGCCTGAGTCAACACAAAGTCCATCCATTTTTCAAGTTCTGAAATTAAATACGCTTTATATAGGTTTTTGGGGGTTTGAAGAAAAACAACAGAATCTGTTTGCCAGATCGGGATGGATGTCATTAAGTTCATTTTGGTTTCCATCTTAAATAGAAGTGGTATTTGGAGGTATAGAAATCAAACCCCTCAGCCTGCGGTGCGTAATGGAGGGGTTTCTGCCCGTTCGCATTCTTAGCGGGCCACAGAGAGCCCAATAATAAGGGCTGTCTGTAGTTCGGGCCTCTGAGGCTGTTTGCTGATGGATTTATGGTGGGGCTTAGAGGGACAAAGCACCGAGGCCAAGTGGAGGCAGTGGTAAAGGGCACAAAGCCCCATGCGTAGGTGGAATTCCTGGCGCAGGCACTCGTGAAAAGAATGAGTCGACAAGGGAGATTATGTGGGTAAGACTTAACTAAGTTAAAACGAGTCCTGCTCAGTTAAAGACACAACGGCTGAGTTTAAGGGACACCAGCCAAGCCACCGACCCGGACGTACCCTCTTGGAGGCTAGGTACTCCATGCCTCGTGCCACTTGGTAGGCACAAGAGATCAGGTCCTTGAAGGTGAGCTGTTCCTCGGGAACTTTAGTGACGTCAAAGGTGTAGTCCATGCCGGGGGGGCGGCGCGCCCGCAGGTACTCGCGCAAGCTGCCCTTGGAGGCGTACTCAACCAGGACATAAAGTGGGCCTGGGGGGACAGTGTCACGCGAGTGAGTGTCACATGACAGAGATTCATTCTGAGAACAAACACAGAGACCCAGGTTGGTGAGTCGCAGCTGACAAGCTCTTTGGAGAGTAGGGTGGGGGGGTCGTACCATCCTGCGTGCACACGCCCAGGAGGTTGATGATGTTCTTGTGCTTGTCCATGATTTTCATCAGCTCCATCTCTGAGATCAAATCCGCCAGGTCTTTGTCTGTGGCGTCATCTAAGGAAGGAGGACAGAAGCAATGGGCAACGTTCAATCAGACAGCTCCTTTGCAGAATTTGGAGATCCCAAGCTACCAGTTATTCCCAGTGCCCAACAACCTTTCAACATCTTGACCGCCACAGTAGACGTCTGATCCGGATTCTCCTTGTTGATTCCGTAGGCCTCCGCCCTCACCACCTGGCCGAAGCAACCCTCTCCAAGGGGCTTTCCCAAAGTCAGGCTAGAACGGGAGACAGGAAGAGCGAGGGGGTTAGAGATAGGGGCCTGGTATTGCCAATCTGCGCAACGGATACCTCAAAGTGCACTTACTTCTCCCTGGGGAACTCCCAGTCGGGGTCAAAGGGCAGCTCAAACTCCATGACCCCAGCCAGCATGGGGGAACAGCTTGAGGACAGGCGTGCTACCCGCATCAAAGAAGCACTGGACTTTCCAGACGAGTTGGACTCCACAGAGTACTAAAGCAATAACATCACATGGTCAAGGATTTGGGTTCAGCATCGCCCACATCTGTTACTGCTAAAATTTTTCCCAGCATGCAACTTGAATTTCTAGGACTTCAGTTACAAATATCCATCAAATGGCCATTACCTGTCTGCGTAGGGGGAACTTAGAGAGCTTCTGGACGGGAAGGACATCGAACGGTTCTCTGCTGGCAGTGGCCTGCATCCGGCACAGCACCACAATGACGATAGCCATGAGCAGGGCCAGGAAGCCGGAGGCATAGATGATGATGTCCGTGTACTTAGTCTCCATTGTGTCCACCTCCTCAGCTGCTTCCTCCTCTACAAAATGACAGGAGATCGTTAAAATGAAAGGCAGACTGCAACTTTCTTGACCACCAATGTGGGCTGACTAAACGTACCTGAGAGGACAGTGAGCCAAGCCGACTGGTAAGAGTAGCCAATGGAATTCCCGGCCAGGCAGGTGTACTCTCCTGCATCTTCCATGGTGACGTTGGTCAGGTAGAGAGCCTCCACCTCTGATGTATTCAGACTGCCCGTCTGCCACAAGAACGTGCCAGGTCAACAATTAGCACTACAGAGACCTCGAATTGACGGGTGGACAATGATAAGAACATGCTGTGTTGAGTAGGCTTGGTGGAATGGGAAGATGAACCTCCTCACCTTCAAGATCTGCACGTAAGGGAAACCATCAGGACCATAGCGGCTGCCGTTCTTCTCAATATGCTTCAGCCACTGGATGTGTGGCTGGGCATCACTGTAGACCTTGCAGAGGAACTGCACGTCACTGCCCACCACCACAGTGGTGTTGGCTGGCAGTCCTGCCTGAAGGATGGGCCGGTGGGGGGAGCGCTCTGCAAAAAGGGGGGTAGGATCTATGAGATACCAGTGCTAGGTGGAGCTCCTAGTCCTGAAAAACCATCCACAGACTGGGCAGAGCGCCTATGGGCAAAAGGGATCACTAAAAGTGAACCGCAAGGAATTTTCACTGCGTTCATAGAAACAAACAAATGTAAATTCCTCCAGAAATGAGAAAAGCTGTCACTACTTATTCCCCCATAACAAGCTGGCAAAGCTCCTGGCCGCACAGTTTCATTCTTTAAAACAATCTCTACAAAAAGTATAAAAAGAAACGTTAATTACGGGCACTAATCTGATGAGATAGCTGAAGGAAGGAGAGATAAGCAGCACTGGCAGAGCCAGCCAGACGGCCGTTAATTAGTTCCATTAGGGGAGTTTGTAGCCCAGGCCGTGCAGTGGATGCTTTGAAGTCACTGGGCCTTTTCTTTGGCCGCTCTATTTCCCCTCTCACGCTCAGAGATGGCAGTCAAGCCCAAGTCGGACTCTTAACAAACACGTCTGCCTTAGCTCAAGGACAGAGTGGGCCCGCGTCACCCAGACTGGCTCCGACGCCAGCTCCATCTCGTCATCTGGTCACAGGCGGCCTCTGAGGCTTGTGCTACTTTCCGCTGCCATTTGCAGGCCCTCGGACCTTTCTGTGATATCCATTTTCTTTCTCTTTTGAAACAGTGAAGGACCCACTTGTGTGTATTGATAGAGTATGGCTGGACGTTAATTTTTGTTGACATCCACTGTGTAGCCTGCAGAGGGTATTCATGGATGGGCCCTATGGCACTAGCACCAGCTGAAAGCTGATTGGCCCCTGGGGTGCCCCTCCCTTGTCACTCACAGATTCAAAACATACAATTGGATAATAATAAGATTAGCCCATCTGTATGAATTATGGCCCCGTTTATGCCTCTACACCTTGAAACACCCATAGTATTCTGCACTGACCAGGAACTGACCAGGTTGTGGAAAGGTTTAGTTGAGGCCCTTACCCAGAACATCCAGGAGGTAGCTGTGGGAGATGGAACCGTACTTGTTTTCTACCACACACGTGTAGTTGCCCCGGTCCGACGGAACCACGCTCTCCATCACCAGGCTCCAGTGCTGGTGTCGCAGCTGAGCATATGATGTGAAAAGAGGAAAGACAGCTTCAGCTAAGAAGGGGATCCTAGGAATGTCGAGGTGATGATGTCAACCTGAAGCTGGGATCTTCACCTTGATGCCCCCAATGCGATGCTCCCCCCTGAACTCCCTCCCGTTCTTCAGCCACCGGATCGTGGGTACAGGGCTCCCTGCAGCTGGGCAGCGGAACTTGACCGTGTTGCCGGCAGGGACAGCATGCAGTTTCTTCTCCATACGCTGTGTGTGGATCCAATGTGGGCCTGAGAAAGCAGAGATGGGGCCTTGATGTCATCATACTGGTATAGGAACTGAGCTCTAAAGTCATGCTCATTTGATGCAGATCTTATCATCATTTGTCGTGGAATTTGATTACCTCTCGTGAAGAAGACTTGCTCGTTCTCAGTCTCAGTCGACGCGTCTTCAAAACCGTTGTCTTCATCATCGTCACCGGATCCTATAGAGTCTGGGGAGGACCATCAAAAGCATTTATATCCACATACATCCATGGTCACATGTGGACAGAAGTCTGTCTATCGCATACTGCCACATCTCTATAGGAATGGCCTGTGTTTGCCTTACCGGTGACGGTAATGGTGAAGTTGCGTAGGGTCTCGCCACTGCCCCTCAGCACACAAACATATAGGCCCGAGTCCTCATAGGTGACGTCGGTGACCTCCATGATGCCGGGGCGGATGTGGATGCGGGCATTGTTCAGGACCCGGTCATTGCCCTTGTACCAGTGGACTCCGCCAGGCCGGTTGGTGTCACAGCGCAGCTTTAGCACGTCCCCTGGCTCCAGGAGGAGGTGCTCTGTCATCTCTTCAGCATCATCTTCTGTGTTGACTGATGGGGGGGGGGGGCAGACCAAGATGTCACATGAGGATTCTATAAATTCATCAACTTGCTGTGCAACTGGGGAAAGGGGGTCCTGACCTCTCAACTTTTGCCCCCATTCTTTTTCTATGGAAATGGGAGCGGTGCCTCCCCCGCCCCATCTGTGGGGAGCACACAGGGACCCAGGAAGGGGGGGGGCGGGGGGGCTACAGACCAAGCCTGACAAGCTGACAAAAGGCCCAGATAAACATATCACAGGGCAACAGGAGACACAAGACCACAACAAATTCGAGGGATTGCCATTCCTAAGAAGCCTTCACTGCACCAAGGGCTGACCTTCCTGGAGATACCGGCTACAAAAACCCTCCATCCCTGCCCACCCCCTCCCCAGAAGCAGATAGACTGTCCTGGCCCACCTGCTGCAGTTTTACTTTCCGGTGTCGGCTCACACAGAGGTTCTGGTTCTGCAAAAGACAAGGACCACACAGAATCAGACGCCTAAACTTGCACTGGATCCTCTTGAAGCAAGCAAATTTCATCAGAGGAGGTGTGAAGCACCGCATAAGGGAGTGGTATGCGTACCAGATAAGACTTCCACCCAGGCCGACTGGGAGAGCTGTCCTACAGAGTTCGTTGCCTGGCAGATGTACTCGCCCGCATCCTCTGCGGTGACGTTATCCAGTGTCAGAACACTGACCCTGGAGCGGTTGCTCTGCAGAGGCTGTTTGAGGCAAACCGAAAACGGGCACCATTAACAACCTCAATCCTCGTTAAGTGGCAGGTACCCAATCTTGCGCTTTCATTGATTACAACAACAAAGAAAAATTCACCCACAGTGCTGGAATTCTGCTCTATTCTATCCATAAATTAATGCAGTTTTGCCTCTACGTTCACGGAAAAGGGGAATGTCGAGTCATGGCTGGGGCTGACTTTGCAGTTGTAACCGCGAGACGAGGAGTGACCCGCATGGCTCACCGTCAGAGCCTTGAGGTGCGGCAGGCCGCTGGGGTCCGGCACCCTCCGGAGCCACTGGACGCGCGTGGCTGCTGACCTGTACACTTTACACTCCAGTTTCACCTGCCCACCCCTGGTGACCGTAGCATTTTCTGGGTATCCTGGCTGGAGCAGCGGACGCAGGAACCTGGGCCCTGGAGGGATAGGAGACAATGGGGGGGGGGCTCAGCTGCAGCAACAGTCTGCATTCCGGCTAGCTTTCATTTTTGCGTAAGTTGCCGATCGACCGTCACGATAAAGAAGGGTCAGTGCAGGTCCAGTCTCAGCAGCGTGGCCGAGGCGTGTGCGTGGAAAAAAAAAACACATCATTCCAGGCTAATCTCCTTCCTAATTGCTTCCTGGTAAGTCTTCCACCGATCTTCTCCCTTAGTGGAAAAAAAGAACGCTGACTCTATAACTGGCTTGTATCTGATCTACAGAGTTTATTTTAAGGTAGGATAATGAACAGGACAGACATGCGCACAGCATGTTTAGCCAAAGAAGAACCACAAGCCTGCTGTATGGTGTGCAGCTGTAAGGAGTGCAGCGGATCTTACGCTGGGATCTACTGGAAAAGGAGTCTTTTTGTTTCCAGGGGACAGGGAATTCTGTCTTCCCTGTCCCCAGCAGCCCACTACCCCTCCCCCAAGTCTCACAACCTGCACCACAGGTCAGGCTGCCCAAATTGTCCCCCACCCCACTAACAAACATGTCACCCATCCAACCAGGGCATGGTGTGAATCCTCGGTGTTAATCCTCGGTGTTAATGCTTGGTGTTAATGCTAATGAACAAAAAACAAAACCAGAACAGGATATAAATGTGACAGATTCTCTCTGTCACTCTTATGGAAAGCATGCTTTTTTTCTAGTTTCTCACAAGACAATAATGGATGGGAAGAATAAATTATTTAAATAATAATATCAGTGAGTAAATCTCAGTAGGGCTATTATGACAACCTTTATGCTTGTTTCCACGTCATTTATCTGTGGAAAAACAGCAGCGACTACCGGTGCTGTACTAATCACAGCGATTAAAGCTCATAGGGACCGGATGTCTCCGTGACAACAATTGTGACATAAATCAATAATTAACTGATTAAACCTTCAGTAAATAATCCCTCCATCCAATAACTATGTGGGTTTCTGAGGAAGGTGCAGTTGTGAGAGTGTGTGTGTTTGGGGGTGGGGGGCTGTTTACATACCCCTGAGGGCCAAGGCTACTCTAAAGCCTTGGGAGCAGACCACCATGTGTCCTGTGTGCGTCGTTAGCTTTACTCCACACTAACATCTCCACATCTCCCAAACTCCATTCCAGAATTCCGGGAGTCCTCATAGGTTACGGGGGAGCTGTAATTTGTCCTGGGGGGGGGGGGGGG